AACTTTACAATCCGTATCCTGTCTCATGTATTCGCTCAATCAGTGTTTCAGCCGTGCAAAGACGTCAATATAACAGCTTGTATACAATTCATGTAACATCACATTTACCTCAGAAGGCATATTTGGTAAACATAAACTCGATAGTCAGCCAGAAAAATAAACTGTAGAGAGGAGCATTTTGCTAAATATATGCACCATATATATCATTATAATTTTTTACCGTTCTTTAATGCTTTATGTTTGAATAAATCCATCCACGTTTTTTTTATGACAGCCACTATTTAAATGTGTATATTTAAAAAAAATAAATAACTGAAGTAATTGTAACTTAATTATTATAAAAAACTTCATTAATTGCAATTTAAGCAGTTGTACAGCACCAATCAGTCAATTTTAACCTTCAATATTATAGTAATGTAGTACCAACTGACTCTCATGTATATTTTACAGCATTAGTTGAGTTTTTTTTTCCTTGAGAAAATTTGGCATGTACTGTACCTGATATGTATCCAAAATAATCGATATTGAATCGAATCGAATTGGTAATCGAATCGAATCGCAAGCTTGTGAATGAGAATCGAATCGAACTGTGAAATATGTGTCAAAACCCAGCCCTACATTTTAGTATAAAGGGTCATATATTTCTGTTAAAATTTCTTCAAGTTAACAGTTTTACTTTCAGTTTCTGTGTTTTAGTATTTGATGGTAGTTTTTTTCTCAAATGAAACTGTAAAGCTGGTGAAGTGACTCTCAGAGCAGCTCTGGAGATGAAGTTCATGTGCTCATATATTGAGACGGCAGATAATGAAAACACTGTGAGCAACATATGTGTTTGAGTTTGAGACCAAACTCTGCCATTTATTCACTGAGACATGCAGACATATTAGTGACCTGCACTGGCTGTTGTCACGTTTATTTCTGCTACTGTGTGATCGGCTGTTAGATTAATCCATATTGAGTAAAAAATGTCCAAAAATTAAACACATTTCTGGCCCTTCCATTCTCATTAATGTGATGCAAAAAAGCATCAATTTTCATTATTAAAACATTAATGATGTTTAAATTGCAACACATTTAAGAATCATGAGGGAAAGATGTCATTATTAAAAAAAATGTTGTTAGTACAAAATATAAATGACTTTTTTTTTTTTTGGTTTTTAGGAGTAAATGAGTCAGATAGCATCTTCTTGTGAAATTCAACCATTTTGTATCTGCAGTTACCCTGAACAAAAATCAAATAAAACCTGTAAGTGTAGCTTAGTTGATGCAACGATCACGGCTGCAATGCAACTGCCATCGACATCTGATATGTATACACAGGCCAAAAGTCATTGTGAATAGGCATTCCCAACCCAGTTAACTTGGGTAAAAAGGACAAGCCAAGCACAGATGAGGGAATGAGAACAGGATGTTCTTACCTTCTCTGGTCTCAGTAAAACCCAACAGAACTGCCAGGCCTGAGGAGACACTTGAGCCTGCATCAGCCATTTCTGAGCCAGATTCTTATTCTCAATGTTGGGATCATAATAGAGCTGATGCAGGGCCTGAAAGAGACACACACACACACACACACACAAACACACAGAAAGAGACAGTTTTAGACAGTGATACATTGCACTCTAGCCATTATGGAGCACATGGATACAAACTAATAACGCTTTATTAACCCCAGGGTTCCTCCGGGGCAGTTTAGCAGACACGCAACATATATGAAAGCATGTGCAGTTAAAGTGATGCTCGAGGTCTCAAAACTGCTGATGCATGAAACTCATGCCGTCATTTATGCAGGTGAAGCGTTTAATATGGTGACAAATAACAGCTAATAATGATAATCATTAAATACATTAATCTATCTATTAGGGGTGTGCGATATTGACAAAAAATTATATCTCGATATTTTCTGGGATTCTATCTATCTATCTATCTCTACACAAACTACAATTAAAAAAAAACATTTTTGTTACTTAAAATAAACGTTAAATGAAATTAAATAAAGTATTAAAAAAATCTTAAATATACTAAAATAACTAAAACAAAAATCTAAATTAATTTTAAAAAACGATACAGGAACATAAAAAACAAACTACTAAAAATGACAAAAACACAAAATTTAAAAAAATGAAAGTTGAAAATATAAAAAACTAATTCAAAATATTAATAAAAACTACAATAGCAACTCAATTCTTATTATAATTAAGATATTTTTTTCAGGACTTCAAGTACAGCATTTATCTGAAATAGTAATGTTTTGTAACATTATAAATGTTTTTACTGTCACTTTTCTTCAATGTAATACATCCTTGCTGAGTAAAAGTATTAATTCCTTGAAAAAAAAAATCATACATATTGTCATCAGCCAAAATGTCTATATCACTACACCCCTAATCAACTGTGTAAATGAAGCAGACTAAAACCAAAAAATGTAATCTAAGATAAAAATCTAGTAAGTTTAGAGAGGAATTAGATTTGTGTGTCACAGCACAACAGAAACCCCCTGAGAAGCAGCCATCTGTCAGAGTAAACCAGGTGACATGACAAAACCAACTGTGTGCGGTCAGACCGCCATAGATGCTTTGAATTCTGTACAAAGGAAGAACGGATAAAAATAAATAAGGTACAAATGTTCATTTAAGCGGCTACATCTTTTGAAACAAGGGTTTCTATGGCAACTCTCTATTCTGCACAAACTCATTCTTAAAGACCAGCGCTGAATGACTTTGGTCCATTGACATGGTTACCGCATCCGATCTTGCCTGTGTGTGTGATGACTCACTCATTCTGTAGGATCCATTTTACCCAGACGTCTATTAATCACTCGTTTTATCTGATTCTATGAGCTACGCTACAGGCATTGTCTCTATCAGTATAAAGTCTGCTCCACATTCTGGCTAAGAACCACCCACTGAGACAGGAAGAGATGTTTGAGATCAAACATTAAGCGACCAGTTACTGATTTTGAAGGTGATGCATATGGACAGGTAAGTCAGAAACTGGATATGTTTCTGACTTACAAACAGGTGTGACCAATGCGCAAAACTACACATATTTACAAACTGACTAGTCGTGAGTTTGATGACTAGTCAACTAACAGTCTTAAGCCGGGCACACACTGTACGATTTTGGTCATGATTTGGCCGTCTGAGACAAATTTCGCAAATCCTAAAAGATTCCTCCGATCCTAGGCTAAAATCTGTAGTCTTTGATCGTTAGTTTGACATGTTTACCAACAGCCGATTAATGACCGTTGCGATTAAATTTGACCTCAGACGAAATTCTGGCAGTGTCAGTGTCTGTCTGGCAGTATCCGTTTTTAACGCGTCTTCACTGTCGTACAGTCTGACATTAATGATAACGGAGATCCCACAGTGTGACAAGAGGATCATACTCATATAGTGTGACAAGCAACAATCGTAAAGGACTATTATAAATCGCACAGTGTGCACCAAGCTTGAGAGGAAACCCTTATTAATGAGGCTGATTTAAGTTGAATTTAAAGATGCAACTACTATGTATAAGATAAATAAAATAAATAACAGAAAACTAAAAGAAACACATAAATAAATATGAAAAATTACTTATTATAAAATGCATAAATAAAAGAAAATAAATAAATGTTTAAAATAAATAAAATATACAATAAAAATCTAATATATAAATATTAAAATTACTTAAAAATACATTTAAAAAGCATAATTCAATAAATGAAGTGTTAGAAATGCAAACACTATTTTACATAAAACAGTCAGTGTAAATAAAAGCAAGTAAAAATGCAAAAAAGTCAACTACTGTTTAAAATAAAAGAAATAAACAATAAAATTAAATATACAAATAAATTAATCATATTAATTAATAAATATACAAATAAATACTTAAAAAAACAAATTAAAATTAAATAAATGAAGCGTTAAGGATGCAATCACAATTTTAAAATAAAAATGTAAATAAAAGCAAGTAAAAATGCAAAAAAAGGTCAAATGCAACCACTGTTTAAAATAAATGAAATAAACAATAAAAATAAATATTTAAATATTTAATAATATAAAAATGACTTATTACAAAATGTATACATATAACAATCAATAAATAAATGAAAAGTGTCAAAGATGCAACCACCATTTTAAATGAAATAAAACACATTTAAAAAAAAAAATACATAACTAACCAACCTCAGTAACAACTGTTCAGTTGCTGGATAACTAGTTCACCATCATGACCCACCCATGCATAATGTACAAGGACATTTTGTTTACTTGCTACTAAGGGTCTCAAACCAAAGGTTTGTCGCTATGAAGCTCACAAATGTTAGAAAATTAAATGACTAGCTGCTCCTCAGAAACACTCATTTTTCAGCTTAGTACTTTGTAAACGCCTTGTTTCCCGGTGGACTATTCAAAACCTGTTCACCCTGACTCGCAAACACTGCATGAAGCCAAACATTTGAAGATCTTTGGGACGGTGTTCAACAGCCCATCTGGAGTGATCGGCAACGGTTGTTCTGACATCATCAGCCATGTGTCTGTGAATTTTACATCTCAGAATATTTGTGTTTTGAGATTCATTCCCATTGAGTCAGAGGTAGATAATCACAAATTACCCGATTCCTCAGTAACAACGAGAAACAGCACTACAGCAAAATGCTTCTAAACAGAAGAAATTGTTACATTATAAGAGATGCTTTTTGACCTTTCAGCACTAATCAATCAGATAAATGTGTGTATGTGCCTAAAGAAGAACAGCGAGATGTGGCTGCCGACTCCTTTGAACAGGCAATGGTTGGAAAAACATATCAGGTTGCCCTTGACAACCGAATCCCTGCACACAACCCAAGAGATATAATTAGCAAAGCTAACGGCCGAGCCAATCAAGACACAATAGTGGAACATGACAACACGCAAACACCCCAGATACCCTCTGTGAATAATCAAACACACATTCACATCTAAAGTCAAGCATCTAGCTGCATCTAAAAATGAAAAGGTTTCTTGTGATGAATTTTACAGCAACATTACGTTGAGCCCAGATAATACACATAAAAACAAATCACTCAATCTGAATTGTTTTGTGCATAATTAACATGAACATTACTCAGGATATTTAAACATGGGGTTTTATTCGAGTGATGTTTCTCTCCTCTGCAGACGGTTACGCCTGACCATCACACAGCCCAGAACAATACACAATAAACACACACAACGACCTCTGTGTGTGTCTGCTGCCGAGAGACTGAGCGTGAAAGAACGGCTGAGACAGTGACGTCCTGATACAGGTGCTATTGCACGTCTTTTGAAAAAAGAGGCAGAAATGTATTTTCGGCCTTCTTTCTATCTGACACGGAGTTAAAATAATCAGCACATATAAATGAAGGAATTTACTTCAAACCTTTTTAAGATTTCAAAGCTGAATAGATGATTTATCCAGTCTTCAGTGTCACATGATCCTTCAGAAATCATTCTAATATGTTGATCAAGTTCCCAATTATTATTTGTGCTCAATTATTAATAATGGTTCTTATTTTTATCTACGTTGAAAACAGGTTTTGTTTGGATGATACATTCTTTTTCCAGGATTCTTTGGAATAGAAAAAGATGAAGTTCAAAAGCTCAACATTTATATTAAATTGAAATCTTTTGTAACATTATAAATGTCTTTACTGTCACATTTGATCAATTTAATGTGTCCTTTGCTGAACAAGTTTTATTTTTTATTTTTTTATATCACTTACCTCAAACTTTTGAATGGTACTAGCATATAACCATTTCCACAGAAACATGAAGCAGCACAACTGTTTTCAACATTGATAATAATAAGAAATGTTTCTTGAGCAGCAATTCAGCATATCAGAATGATTTCTGAAGGATCATGTGACACTGAAGACTGGAGTAATGATGCTGAAAATACAGCTTTAATCACAGAAATAAATTACATCTCAAAACGTACTCAAATAGAAAACAGTTCTTTTAAATTGTAAAAATATTTCACAATTTTACTGTATTTTTGATCAAATAAATGCACTTTTGGTGAGCATAAGAGACTTGTTTCAAAAACATAAAAAATATGCTTTTAGTTCTTTTATCAATTCCAATGTGATATGGCAAAAAATGACAAAACTGACATGGACCTTGACATATTCCACTAAAGAATTAACATGAGTGCTGCTAAACCCTCCAGAATGTCTTTATTCACAGACTTACAATGTAAATGCATTACTGTAAACACAAACTGAGGGATAATTTGAAATTATTTTGAGCAGCAATCAAGTGCATTCCTTTAAAAAGACATTACTGACACCATGTTTGCTATTAACGAGATTAAAAGCAGAACAGAGCGTTTGTCGGGACTGACAGCGGCGGTCCAGGATAAAGATGAGAAACCCTCCACCAGGCAGAGATGAGACGGACGGGACACCACCCTCTCTCCGCTCCTCATCCTCACGGATGGATCAATACTGCTCTCTTTTCTCTAATCCAATCTAATGTTGAACACCAGTTTCACATTTGTAGCCTGATCATCAGAGATCAGCTGCATTACAATCACATACAGATAGAATTACCCTCAAAAACAGACAGAGCCATTAAACTGACAGACATTCGGCAACAAAAGCAGTCAAAATAGAGAGCTAATAAAGAGAGAACAACTTAAACATCACAATTCTGTAGCGCTCTACATGGGTCATTCTCACAAAACCTGTCAAGATGATCCCAGCACAACTTTAAAAGAAAGGAATGGGAAATTATATGCTGCCAATGTAAAATTAAGTATTTTTTTTTAGGACTATTAATATTTTGTGCATTGGGACACTGTTTTCGTGACAATTAAGCACATTAAACACCATAATCTCTTTTAAAACATCTAATTCTCATTACTATAATGGGAAAGAATAACAATATTTTATTTAATTTTTCATCATGGCAGTACTGCCTTGGTTTACGTTGGTTTAAAAAATACAGTATCATTACAAATTACAATAAAAAGTAATGTAAATATATAAAATGTCAAACAAATGAATATAAGTATAATAAAATAATGGTCCTAAAATAGGATTTATTAAGTGCTGTATATATATATATGAACAATTTCTTCACATGTACATAAATTATAAATAAATAACATGAATTTATTCTCAACTCAAATCAACAACATTTCTAAGTCTTCCCTAAGAGTAAATGAACATTAAATAACGTACTAAATACAACATTAATGATTAAAAGCATGTATATTTACCTTTTCCACGTTTTCCACGGTGAAGTCTGCGGCTGTGTCCGGATCCATGGCTGTGTTTACAGCAACACACACCTCCTCTAGTCTCTTGAACACAATCTATCACCTTACGCTTTATAAGAGTACTGATGATTAATATAACTGTGACAATATCTGCTGATTAATCTCACTGAGGTGAATTTGATTCGGCCCGGCGCGCGATCAGGCCGGTCCGCGCGAGCTCATGTATCTCATTCTCATATTTCGCTCATGATAAAAACCCCTTTCGTATCTCAGATGAGCGATAAATATGACCGTATGTCACATATGTGTGTCCGCGGGTTTCTTTCCGGTCCCTGTGATCCGGTGTGCGCGTGTCCTCCCTCTCCCGTTCTTGTCGGTCTGACTGGGACTGATTCGACACGCGCTGTGCGTGCCCAACCCTCTGCCTTCATTAAAAGGAGAAAAACACTATTCCCAGTTAAAATATGTTTCAGTATTATTCCGTTTTTTATTCTTTTTATGTGTATATGTTAAAAAAACATGAATAATTTAATTGTAAAATTGCTGTGTTGATTGAATGCAGATATGTCGGTTTTCCTTTTATCAAATGAGTTGGCTTTCTGCTCCATAGAGCTCTGATTTTTGATATTGAGTTTTTAAACTTGCAAAATCGTACAGCTTTTATATAACAATAGATCACTTGACTTTGATGTGACGTTCATTTTTAATCAGGCTCAATTTTTTAATGGCCCTGTAAACGGACCTTCGCTCTGCATTATGGGTAATGTAGTTTTAAATAACTGGCGTTCATATGCGGCGTCACAGCGACTCTTTGTGGTACTTTTGAAGTTTTGCATTGATTTCGGCTTCTGTAAGTGTACAACAGTTGGAGCTCTCGCTCCATTATATACATTTACACAGTACATAATGGTTTTCTATTTTAATATACTTTAAAATATAATTTATTTAGGCTATGTGATGCAAAGCTGATTTTTCATCAGCCATTACTCCAGTCTTCAGTGTCACATGATCCTTCAGAAATAATTCTAATATGCTGATTTATTATATGCCTTTTTTTGGAACCTGTGATACGATTATTTGATGAATAAAGTTAAAAAGAAAAGCGTTTATTTAAAACAGAAATCTTTTCTAACAATATAAGTCTTTATTATCACTTTTTATTAGGGCTGCACGATAAATCGCAAGCGATATTTAAGCGCATCTTGTCAGTAAAGCCGGTTCTGTAATCAGCGGTAAATCTCCATCACGTGCCTGCTTTCACATTGAGCAGCATTAACTACACAGAGCCGTTGTTCACTGACGAAACTCTGACATTGTAGACATTGTAGTCTACTCTCCCAGGATATTTGGGTTGAACTGTTCTGGAACAGTGTTGTAAATACAACTTAACCACTGAATTTCTTAGCCAGTGTTTGTAATTAGGAGTCATGCAGCGGTGTATTTTTACCATATTTAAATTAGGTTGTATTCTAGAAGGCCTGTTTTGGAAAGTTAAGAACGGCCTGTAAAGTTCTCTGAAGTACTGAGCGAGAGCGAGATTGTTCAGGACACGCTGCTGAACAATCGTGGGGTATTTTTAGAGCGTTTCTGTTGCTTGTCATCTTTGCATGCTGACGTCCTGTTCCTCTCACTTTCATCTGGGAACTTTTTCAACTCTTCTATTTTTACATCTTGTACAAAAGCCCCGTTTACTTTTATTCCTTTTTCACAATTCATAAGTGCACTTTATTTTAAAGTAAATTATTGTCTTCTAATATATTTCCAATAGTTAACCCTATAATTTAACGCATTAAATTATGTAAACAATAAAAATTATTTAACATATGAATGACTGCAATAATATAAAATGATACATTGGAAACAGAAGCATCACCTCCATGGAGATGTTCTACACTGAAAAAGAAAAAAAAATTGGTGTAGGATTTACATCGAAACAATTTTCACTCAGAAACTGCTGGTAAATTTCAAAGAAACAGCAATGAGACATTTGACTAAACATGACATTTTGAACTAAAATAGCAGTTTCTTGTAAAACATACTCCAATAACCTTCGAAAAATCTTTTTTAGTGAACCCGCAGTTATGAGCTCCACAGACACAATTTCATATCAAACTAAAAGCTTTGCATAAAGATGAGATTTGCAGATAGATGAGAGGTGAGAAAACCTGTGAGTAGATGTGAGAAACAGGAGAGCAGGTGAGAAACACGACTGGGTGAATATTATGATACACGGCGCAACTTTTTGAGCAATGTTGCCATCAACGGGCAACCAGGTGAGACACTGGGCCCACGACTGATCTAAAGTATCCAGAGAGAAATTTGTTGGCCATTCTCAATGGGAAAGTGCCCAAGCAACATTGCCCAAAAAAGTTGCCCCATGTATCATCTTCTTAACACTGTAAAAAAAATGATTTTATGAAGTTGTAAATAAAACAAAGATTATTGGACTGTTTTTACATTTAATTGCATGTGTTACTTGTTTCTTTGTTATTATTTGTGAAATATACGAGCAATTTCTGAATGAAAATGGTTTCACCATCAATTTTGTTTTCAGTGTACACCAATTTTATTTCGAAGAAGTTTAAGTTGCTATTATGGAAAGTTATTTAGATGCATCAGATCGTTGCTTGTAAGTCACATTGCGTTTAGTTTTTAAAGGAATGTTCCAGGTTTAATTTGTGCAGCATTTGTGGCATAATGTCCACTAGTGCTGGGCGGTATGACCAAAAATTTATATCACGGTATTTTTCAAAATTATACCGGTTTCACGGTACATGACGGTATTTTTTTTTCATGCATGACCGGGTGTTAACTATATTTTCTACTGATTGAGAGAGGAAATACTGCAGTATATTGACGTAGAATGCCCTATTTTACTGTCATGATGAGTGAATATTGTCAAAAAATACCACACTAAATAGTGACTAAACACGACCCCTTTTAATACATGTTAACCAGGAGTCACTCTCATTTATAATCGCGGCATCGTCTGATAAAATCAACATGCATCTACACTAAAGAGCGGCTATGCGAAGTGACATATACCGGTATTGCGGTACTTTAAAAATTCATATCATAACAAAAATAAACACTGGTATTCGGTATGAACCGGTATACCGCCCAGCACTAATGTCCACAAATGCTGCATAATCTGAGTATGAAAAGCCCATAGACTGTCTTCTTGAAGCATCATCATTATTGTTCTGTTCAATGCGGCTCAGGCCATTTTCATGCTGCAGAATGATGCATTTTCCAAAGAAAAGAAAACTGCTGAATCAAGCTCTGAATCAGCCTCCCAAAATATCCTCCGGACTGGTGGTATAGTCCCGTTGCGTGCGGGTTCGGTGGGGTTTGTGCCGTGTGGCGGCGGTAGCTCAACAGGGTCGTTATTGAGGAGCCCAGCCAAAATAACTCTTGTGAAGTGGCAGGGTGTGGTGTGCAAAACCCTTAACAAACCTCCCTCGGGATTCTGGGTAATGACCCACAAACACAAGCGTGTGTGAGAACGAGCAAGCGAGCGATTAGGGATCCTATAATAGCTCAATGTTTAAGGAAGTCTCTCGAGTAAGATTATAAAGTACAGATATTAGCCAACATCAACAACTAATGATTATATTTTTAGTTATGACTTATAACCGATATTCTGAAACTGTTCATAACAATGCTTTGGCAACTATTCACAGCATACTCTCAGAATGATTTCTGAAGAATCATATGACACTGAAGACTGGAGTAATAATGCTGAAAATTCAGCTTTGATCACAGAAATAAATTACATTTTACAATATACTACAATCGAAAACAGTTTTTTGAAATAGTAATAATATTTCACAATATTACTGTTTTTACTGTATTTTTCATCAAATGCTTTCACTCCTGGTGAGCATAAAAGTCTTCTTTAAAAAACATTAAAAAATGATTACTGACCCCAAACTTTTTGCTCAGGCCCCTCCTTCGATGCAAGTGAGTGGAATTTTTTCTCAAGTCATATAATTTGAAGTATCATTCATATCTGTAGCACAAATTATGCTTTAAAGTTCATTAATTGAGTTAAAGGGTTGTTCAAATCCTGAATTCCACATGACAGGTTTCCTCAACACTCATTTATTATTAGTCAGACAAACAGATAGTTCCTCCCCAAACACATGCCAGTGTTGCTTAATTAAATGACTGAATTAATTATTAACACTTTTCCTGTTTCACCACATAACTAAAGAGAGAACAGAGCTCCGTTTAAACATTCTCTCTTGTAGATTCAGATTTGGCAGAGACATTCTCTCATTTTTAATTCATGATAATACCCATTTTCATTTCAATATTCAGATTACTTTGAATAATTTAAGTTACAGGCCAAGATTTCCCCTAGTTCTGATTCATACGTCATCTCTGTCCTGTCTTCAGGTGATTATCTCTGTGTGTCGTCTGCGGCTCACATCTCACGTAGAAGAAACGGAGTGACTGATGTCAACATGACCTCAAGCTCTGGCGGCGATCAGACACAGTCCTCTACTAACATCTCCAACAGCACTGAGCCAACGCCGCACACAGACACAACAACAGGTACGACATTTACTTACTCTGGGTATTTAATCTGAGATCGACAGCGTCGTCAACCCCCAATCTGATGTCTTATACATGCTCCTATACTGCCACAATCAGTGTTTGTGAGGAAGCACTAGTCACTGGGTTCAAAACATATTTAGTCTCTGAACTAATCATTCCTAGAACTAGATATTTCTTGAACCCTTGTGCTGTGCTGAAAATCCTTTACCTAATTTGGTGTTCCCAGTCAAAAATGACCGGCCTTTTAAAACTCTAGTTATGCTATAATATTACCGATTCAATCTTTTTGTCAACTTGTTTTCTTTCAATTAGCACAGGTTTTGTATTTCTTTTTGGAGCTGATTGATTGTAGACCGCATTCATCTGAGCTTGTGCATCTCAGTTTTTGAGTGATAAAAAGTATTATTTGTTAATAATTTTGGCAAGGATCACTCAAAAACCTAGGTGCATAAGCCCAGATCTGTTTTTAGGGACTTTTCTTAGAGTGTACGTAATACTTTTAATCGGCCATTTTCAAAAAAACATTTTTGGTAATTGAAAGAAAGCTGAAATAAAATATACACTACCGGTCAAAAGTTTGGGATCAGTAAGACTTGTAATGTTTTTTAATGCTCATCAAGGCTGCATTTATTTGATCAAAAATACAGAGAAAAAAACAGTAATCTTGCAAAATGTTATTACAATATAAAATAATGGTTTCTATTTTAATATCCTTTAAAATATAATTCTTGTGCATCTCAGTTTTTGAGTGATAAAAAGTATTATTTGTTAATAATTTTGGCAAGGATCACTCAAAAACCTAGGTGCATAAGCCCAGATCTGTTTTTAGGGACTTTTCTTAGAGTGTACGTAATACTTTTAATCAGCCATTTTCAAAAAACATTTTTGGTAATTGAAAGAAAGCTGAAATAATATATACACTACCGGTCAAAAGTTTGGGATCAGTAAGACTTGTAATGTTTTTTTAATGCTCATCAAGGATGCATTTATTTGATCAAAAACACAGAGAAAAAAAACAGTAATCTTGCATAATGTTATTACAATATAAAAAAAACAGCATATTAGAATGATTTCTGAAGATCATATGACACTGAAGACTGGAGTAATGATGCTGAAAATTCAGCTTTGATCACAGGAATCAATTAGATTTTAATGTATATTAAAATAGGAAAAACGTTATTTTACTATTATATTATATTATCATAATAATATTTCACAATATTAAATTTTGTTCTGTATTTTTGATCAAATGAATGCAGCCTTGATGAGCATAAGAAACTCCTGTAAAAAAACATAAAAAATCATTCTGATCCCAAACTTTTGACCGGTAGAATATATATATATATATATATATGTATATATTAGTGCTGTCAGAATTAGCACAATCTTCAATTGCACACACAAGTGCGGTGGTGCGCGCTGTAGCCTGTATCATTTCATATCAAAGCTCGAAGGAAACTACGAGCATGCAATGTCGTAGTTATGTCGTCAGTCAAGTCATGAAGTTACCAAAAAAGCAATTAAAGTTGCTTTAAAACTGCATGCATGTAATTATTTTTTATATATGTGTCACATTTAAAGGTCCCCTACGGCTTCAGCGTCTATTTATAATGCAGGCGGGGCTTCGGATTCTAGAGAGCATTTGATTGGACAGAAAGTTTGATGAGAAGCTGAAGTATGATGTGACGTCAAAAAAATCGTTGAGCCGTTTTGGCAGAAGTGACGAACTGCAAGCTTTGAATGCTTATATCTTCTAAATGCGAATTTTGTCACTGTTTTGGAGCACACTGCCTTATAGATAACCTTAAGACTAACATATTGATACTAACACCCAAAAAACTTGAATTTTGAGTTCATGGGGACTTTAAGAACATGTCTCTGAAATGCAGTGGTTTTCAAAACTGTCCTGGAGCAGCCCAGCACTGTCTCCCTCATCTAACAAACCCGATTTAACTCCTCAGCTCATTAGTAGAGACTTTAAGACCTGAGGTGGGTCAGGAAAGGTAAAGAGTTATGAAAAAAAACGATGCGTGTCAGATCCATGTCATGTTCAGCAGCGGCAGCTCTTAAAGCAGCCAAAATAACCTAATAACCAGCTGCTGTGATTTCTGTTCATCAAAGAACAAAAGAAAAAAAGAGGAAATCAATCACTTTTGTAGCTTTAAGGATTTGTCTATATTTAATTTAGAATTTAGTGTTTGATAACTTCAATTTCTGTATATTTCCTTTTTGCTGAAGGGCACAGGTAGCTACATATGACATTTATTATAATGGGTTTATGCGAAGATTGATTTAAGTTCACTTAAATTAGAAGTTATTATTTTTTTAAGTCTAATAAATGTTAAAATTGATAGCTCTCAGTTATACTGTAATGTTGAATGGCTAGTCAATGGTTAAATATTAGCAAAAAAAGATGCCATTATACAAATATTAAAAATATACTGTCTTTGTTATTTCTACATTAATTTGAATTAAGATTGAATGTGAAATTATTGCAATATAAAAGTATATTTTAAAACGTTAATGTTAGGTGGGATTAATCGTGATTAATTTCAGAAAAAAATGTGCAATTAATTCGTTATCTATTTTTATCAATAGACAACACTAATATATATATATATATATATAAAAGAGGAAAAAATTAGCAATGTTGCTTTGGCAAGTAACTGAAATACTTGTATATAAATACTTATATTTTTTATATTTTCACTTTTCATTTTAATTTATCATTATTAATATAGCATTTATTAATATTTTAAAGTGGATTTTATTTAAATAAATCTCATTTAAAATATGAATAATTATATAAATAATAATAATAATATAGAATAACACTGTTCACTCATTCTACACATTTTCTGCTAATTTCAAACTAACTTTGTTGAGACTACCACAGAGGAATATTAACCTAAGAACGAAAATTCTGTCATTATTTACTCTCATGTTGTTCCAAACCCGCGTACCTTTCTTTCTTCTGTGAAGCACAAAAGCAGAACACACCAATACCTAAGTCATCATTGGCTGAAAATCACATTCCTGCTGCTTCAGAATCTAAAATGGCAAGCAAAGACACATTTCAACAAGTTTAGAACAACATGAGAGTGAGCAAATAAGAGAAGTTTCATCATTTGGGTGAATTCTTCCACTTAGCTACTACCTGACCTGACAGAACAGATCATTTACACAACAATCAGTGGTTCTGAACTGCGACAGCAATGTAAAATGACATAAAGAGAGACAGTGAGTAAATGCAGTGTGAGATCTGACATGAGAGTGTGAGAGTTTGAATCCTCATGACACACACACACACACACACACACACACAGCTCAGTGCTGTTCACACACGCACACGTCTCGCATGCACAGACACGCGCTGTCACACAGAACAACTCTGGCTCACTCCACAAACCATCAAAGATCTCACCAACACCATTAAAAATCATCCTGCTGCATTACTGCAGAGCTCAGATACGCTCACTGGCTGCATCCAGATGAAATACTAACGTACTTAAAATGTACACAATATGTGCTTTTACATACATTGTTAATGTGCATATTTAATTTTCTGAGTGCATCTATCTTGGAAATAAATGCAATTATTTTATATTTTTAACGTGAAAGGTCTCTTCTGCTCACCAAGTTTGTATTTATTCGATCAAAAGTACAGTAAAAATATAGTAATATTGTGAAATATTATTACAACTTAAAAACAACTGTTTTCTTTGTGAATATATTGTAAAATGTCATTTATTGCTGTGATCAAAGCTGAATTTTCAGCATCATTCCTCCAGTCTTCAGTGTCACATGATCCTTCAGAAATCATTCTGATATGCTGATTTGCTGCTCAAGAAACATTTCTCATAATTATCAGTGTTGAAAACAGTTGCGCTGCTTCATATTGAATGGAAACCGGAAATATTTTTTAGGATTCTTTGACGAATAGAGAATTCAAAAGAACAGCATTATTTGTCAAATAAATCTTTGTTTAACATTATACATGTTTTGACTGTCACTTTTGATCAATTGTATGCATCCTTGCTGAATAAAAGTATTAATTTCTTTTTTTTTTTAATTCTTACTGACCCCAAACTTTGGAACGGTTGTGTACATACTGCAGAAATAGTAATAGTATGCTAGCCAGGTAGTGCTATTTTGAACACAGCCTCTCTTTTCTCTTTCCGTGAAGAACTCACACATATGTGGCAAACGTTCAGAGTGTTTTCACATTCAGATCAGTTTCCTTTCACTCTGTAAAACAACCAATCCAATTAATCCCTCATACCTGTTTTTTTCTATGTTCCATAGAAAAAAAAGGATGTCTTTGTAATCAACGAAATGAAGGAATGACTTACTCCACCTCTGAAACAGCTTTCCTTTCTGCCCTGACATCAAGCTCTCTTAATTTTTCATCCCCTTCCCCCATCAGTCATAAAGAGACCACTTTTCACAATCCAACCACTTACTGATGGATTCAATCTTACTGAATCTCACATTTCACTCTTAAGTCACATTACAGGAGTTAAAATGAGTTTGAAATGCTTTTAGTGTTTAACAAAGGCATCACCAACCGAAGAAACGGCGTTGAACATGTAGCCGCCCGTTGAGTCATGTCACATGTGCTCATGAATTTAACTGAAAAAGCCCAAAGCTGCAGCTCAGTTTGCATGTTGTGTTGAGCAGCTCTGTGTTTTTCACCGAAAAACGCCCACCAGGGACATCATGCACCCATTTTTCTTTTTTAAAGTTGGCACCAGTGGCGGTTCTGGCTTACTTTGTGTAATATTCAAGATAAGACATGACCAAAAGAAAAAAAAACTTAACAAACCCCTTAGTTTACTTTTTGAAAGTAAACTCTGTACACTACTGTTCAAATGTTTCAGTAAGATTTTTTAATAAATTAAATAATAAATTAATTACCATAAACTATACTCGTCAGTACTTTTCAGTATGAATTCTGAATTCTTAATATTAAACATATATTACACATACACTTAAATATAATGTATTTATTATCATTTATATTGATCAGTACTTTTCAGTATGAATCCTTGTACACTAATACATATATATACTTAATATATTTAAATACACTTAAATATAATGTATTTAATAAACAATACTTGTACTTTTCGGTATAAATTCTCAATTCGGTAACACTTTATTTTAAGGTGTCCTTGTTACACGTTACATGTACTTACAATTGTAATAACAATTAATTATGCATAATTACATGCAAGTAACCCTAAGCCAAACCCTAATCCTAACCATATAGTATGTACATGTAGTTAATTAATATTACTCAGTACTTATATGTATAATTACATGCACTGTAACAAGGACACCTTAACATAAAGTGTAACCCTCAATTATTATTATTAAATATATATTACACTTAATACATTTAAATTCACTTAAATATAATGTATTTATTATAAACTATACTTATCAGTACTTTTCAGTATGAATTCTGAACTCTTAATGTTAAAAAATACTTTACACTTAATATATTTAAATACACATATATAATGTATTTAGGAAACAACATTTGTCAGTACTTTTTGGTATAAATTCTGAATTTAAGTTTAATAAAAAAAAATTTAAATATTTAATTAAACTTAAATATTATGCATTTAATGATTACAAACTATACCATTTTTATACCAAAAATTTACCATTTCAGTATAAATGTTTTCTTTTTATTTAGTTTTTAATTTAAAGTATGTATTAAACTTGATATATTTAGTAATATATAATAATAAACTTAAATATTTGTAACTATATTTATCGGTACTTTTCAATATGAATACTGTATTTATATTTAATTACTGTAGCATTATCCGCATTAAAATTGCTGTGTAATTATGACCTGACTGACTGATTTTGACAAAAGTATTGCTTTCTGCTGGAGACCTCTGCTGCTGATTTGGGCAGAAAGCCTGTCGTCTTTCGATGCGGACATGATTTATTGCTGCGATTATCAAACATCACGTGATTATTCATTTGGTTGATGCTTTTGTGAGCGAATGCAGCTGCACGCACAAATATTTACAGTGCACACCTGCATTTTTGTTTGCCATAACGGCGAGCAAAAGAAATCCTCATAAACTGGATATGAATAGAGGTCTAACAGCAGAGAGGCTGATAACAGAGCATGTGGAAAACAAGAACGTCATTATACGTGTAGAGGAACGGCGAGCTGTGAGAGACGTCTTCACGCTGACACAACCGAAGAACAGACGCATCTTTGTGGATTCGCCAGGCTTTTGCGTCTCTGCAGAAACGCTCAAGCACACAAACACACACTATTTACATATTTTCCAGAAAGTGCGCTAGTATTATTCTCTCTCTCTTTCTCCGTTTTGGTTCTTATAGACAATAGCAAAGTGTCCACTGACCCGCTGCTTGCTGGACTGGTGTCAGCGTTCGTCGTCGTCGCTGCCATCGTGTCGGTCCTCATATTCCTCAAATTCAGAAACACAAGTGACGGTCCAGAGTTTCACAGACTTCAAGACCTCCCCATGGTGAGACCTCAGCTTCCACAAATCATTTTAAAACAAACACATACTATCTCAATAAATTGCTAAGCAATCAGCCATGTGACAAACATTCAACACTGACAGTTAAAGTATCATTCTCAGGAAACCATTTAGATGCCGTGTATACAAATGATATTGCTATTTAAAATTTTTTTTTTACATTTCATTTAAAGGGGTCATATGACGTTGCTAAAAATAACATTATTTTGTGTATTTGGTGTAATGCAATGTGTTTATGCAGTTTAAGGTTCAAAAAACACATTATTTTCCACATACTGTACATTGTTGTTGCTCCTCCTTACTTGTAAGTCTTCCAGGAGAAAGTCATTGATGCACATACAGTATAGCTCACAAATGACAGCGTTTCCTGAGAACGACTCACTGACATCTGTGTGTTTCAGGATGATATGCTGGAGGACGCGCCTCTCTCCATGTACAGCTACTGAAAACCCAGATGTTCCTCAGACATCTTCAGAGCGCCCAACATCCTCTGATCAACACAACACACACAGACACAATTAAATGGCTGATGTGCTTCATAGAGGCACAAACACTTCTGTTCTGTTACAGGACTAAATGTAGCGTAATACTCCACTTTAGTTGTTAAATTCACCGTGGCCGTCAGTTCCTGTTCGTTGGGAAGTTTTCTTGCACTTTACGTGGGGTTTGGAAGGGCTGTGTGCTGCAGGAATATTTGGGAGTAGAATGTAGAAACAATTTTGGATGCCCTGAGGGTGAGCAAATGTTCATTTTTTGGTGAATTATTCCTTGAAAGAAATGTTCCAAGTTCAATACAAGTTGTCGATCACCACACAAAATTTCAACCTCTATCTCAGTCAGCAACAATCATGTTTACAGTAATACACTTATAGTGCAAGTCTGTGGGGTACCAGAATAAACATTAAAAAAAGCATTTTCTACAGTACAGCCACAAGACTTAAACAATATTCATGTTAACATGACACTAATGTGATAATAGTCTACTAAGCTTATCTGTATGAAGTTTTATTCAGTTTTCCAACTCCTGTAAAGCTGCTAAACCCTGTAACTTTTGCATGACATGCAAAAGGAGAGACCTTCTATAGTAAGTGCATTACTGTAAACTGATTTTTGCTTGTTTTTACAAACTGAGGGATGAAATTATTTGAAATGCAGCTGAACCTTCACTACTGTATGAACGACATCAGTAATGATTTCCCAGTGTTCATTTCACTTCATTCGGTTTAGTTCCCAAGGACACTTCCACCCGTGAGAAATAGCATTTTTGTCAGTTTTATAGATGTTCAGTTACCAAATGAAAATTTGGAATTGTTTACATCATTTCGAATGTCATCAATTAGACAAAACAACACTGAAAATGCAACTGGCTCGTGGCTCATGATGTTACAAAATTCAACTGTTTTCAAAAATCCATTTGTGTGCACTTTGAACTCAACATCCAACATTGTTTTTATTGATTGATGAACCAGTCAATAATACAGTATTTTCATCTTTGTGGTTTGATGGCTGATGGATGTGTGATGTTTACTTTGTGTAATAACATGTGAGGGTGGATTTAAAGTGTTTCTTATTACACATTGTTCTTTTAATTAATAAAAGTCTTTAAAATACACTAAATTGTCACTTTTTGAAATTTGGCTCACAACACTTGACACGTAAGTTATGAAATGCTACAATTATTGAGACTTATTTCAAGTGGTAAAAAGGTGACTGTTTTTCTTTGTTCAAAAAATCTGAAGTCAACGTGAAATCAAAACTATTTACTTTCTTAATACACATTTGTGACCCTGGACCACAAAACCAGTCTTAAGTGTCAATTTTTCAAAATTAAGGTTTATACATCATCTGAAAGCTGAATAAATAAGCTTTCCATTGATGTATGGTTTGTTAGGATAGGACAAAATCTGGAATCTGAGGGAGCAAAAAAAATCAAAATATTGAGAAAATCGCCTTTAAAGT